GCTGATCTAAAACAGTTTAATAAATGTAATGAAGTCCTAATGGTAGAGAAATTGGGGAAGTAAAACTGTAATGGGCTTTAATGAAATATTTGGCTACTGGAACTAGTGTTAGGCTTGTCCAGAGAGAAACAAGACCTGTGTGCCACTGCTTTGCTTGATGGGTCTGACTTGTCCAAAAACTCTCAACCACATCAGTGCAAAGGAATGTGATACAAGTGAGTTTGCCAATGCAGAACTAGGGCTCTCCTGGCCAGCCCTATAATAGGAACTAGTAATAATTTAGTCTTTAGAAGGGCAAAGAAGGGAGATGGCTTCTTCACAGCTTTGTGGTTAGTTTCCTGCTTCTAGAACATAGTTGCTTAATAGCAAGTAATCTGTACTGTGGTGTTCCTGGGTTGGTTTGAAAACTCAGTGTAAAATGGTTCTTAGGTTTCTGGACTGCTTCTCACCTTGATTAATGCTTTACTTTAACATTCAACATTTAACATTTGACATTAACAGAAGTATTCAATATTTTAAAAAAGAAATCAGCAAAAATTCACCTAAAATCAGGAGGGCTTTTCTTTCTTATACAGTTGAGGAATTAGATGGTCTATACAGGCTATATGTTAGAGGGGAAATGCAACAATTCTGTGCTGCAGCACAAAAAACCCACGCACCAAACAGCCTGCAGACTGCAGTCTTCATCTGGTACGGCATTCGTGCTTACAGCACACACTTTAGGACTGCAATGGGAAAACTTCTGATTGGTGGTCAGAAGTTTGGGAAACCTTTATACAGAAGTTTAGTGCTTTGTGTTTTTTAAAGAATTTTATACACAGTTGAAACTTTTGACTTTCAAAAGCTGGGAAGAATTAAGCTTTCGGTGTTCTCACATCTTGATTTTAATTATGCTCATTTCTGTAGGAAATTCAGTGAGAAGAGAATGGTGTTGAGCATGGAAAATGACATAGTTTTTGCAAGTTCTGCATAGTGGTGTTTCTGTGAAACACTGGGAGGAGAGGTGGGACAGGGAGAGACAACCTGCAGGACTAGAACTATATGGTTCACAGACTGGTGCTTGGGTGAGTGTGCTAGAGAGTCAGCTTGGGAAGGTCAGAGCAAGAGCTGTGAAAACTGGAAACCACAGTGATAGTGGATGTAATAAGGGGCAGGAGAAGGAAAAGTTGTCTGCCTGTATCTATGTTTGAAGCAGCTTCAGTGATCAAACTCCAGCATTCACCTTTATAGCTCCTTTCAGTCTGGAAGTATTTGAGACAGAATAAAATGAGCAGATTTTGTATGCACCAACTTCAGCGTGCAAGATATTAAGCTTGTTGGATTTGTATTTTTAGAAAACTCCTAAATAAGGTGTTGGAACATTTTCACAGATACAATTTCTTGCTGCTTGGATCTTGGTGGTGGTGGCAGGGATAGGATCCAGGACGCTGCTTGGAAAGCATGAGCTTGGACAGGTGTCAAGTGGATGGGGCCAGACTCCTCCTGAGGTGTGCAGTGACAGGGCAAGGGGCAGTGGGCACAGACTGAAGCACAGCAACACGAGGAAAAGCTTTTTCACTATGAGAATGACAGAGCACCAAAACAGCTGCCCAGAGATTGTAGTTTCCTTCTCTGGAGGTACTCAAAACACACCTGGATGCTTTCTTGTGCAATCTACTGTAAGGAACTGCTTTAGCAGGGGGTTGGACTCAATGATGTCCAGAGGTTCCTTCCAGTTCATCTGATAATATGATGAAGCTTTCTTGTGCTTTTCAGCATTCATTTTCCACTTGGTAACCTTCCCTGTCATTCTTTGGAAGACAACCTTAGGTATTTAGCAAAACAAAGAGACTTCAAATTTGCCATTTCCCAAAACTGAGATAACTGGTGAGCAATGGACTCTCACCTGTTTGCTGTCTTGTTCTGAAGATGAAGTCTTCACTTTACCAAATCTAATTCAGACTTGACTGCAGTGCTCTTCTTCTGCTTTTATCTCAGGTAATTCCCCCAGTTTTTGCCAGCTGTTTCCTCAGCTCTGTATCCTCACCGTTTGCTCTTTTGTTGCTAGACTGTATGTTTTATGGAGGTGTTTGTATTAATTGTTACTGCACACAAAGGATATGCCAACAACAATTGTGAACACAGTGACAGGAAAGTAAAACCCCATTATAAACAGGGGAAGCTCAGTCTGTCCTCATTTCATTGCCTTTTCATCATCAGTCCATTACAGCACGAGAGCTCCTCTGCGGTGGGTGTTACTCTGAAGTTGCACCCGCCATAAATTAATGTTTTGCAGTGTTTATGGAGACACTTGAAAGAAAGCAACAGATGTAAGGTCTGCACCTGGGTTGACATCTTAATGTGATGTTTCAGGTATGCTGTGGAAGTTGATGGAGTATTTCTGTTATCTTCTTGTCTGACTTCATCAAGTGCTGTCACAAAATACCAGTGGAAGTTCAAGCGAGTAGAACAGGGTGGGGTTTTATCTCCCTTTCTTCTGCTGAGAATAATGTAACTTTTCAATTCAGAATGCCACAGCAGTGAAATCTGTGGTGTTTCTTCCCAGCAGTATTAATGTAGAAGATAAAGCGGTTCCTCTCCTTTCCAAGGAACTTGTGATGTCTTATGGTCAGCAAAGGAGAGCTACTCTTAATGCCCTCCCTAGTGGCCGTGCCCCAGTGAGGACAAATGTTAGCTGATGGCGCCAGACATATAGATACAGCTAGATGGCACAGGGCTTATGGGAATGAATTTTTAGAGCTGATCTGACCTCTGGAAAGGTTGGGGGAATGAACCCCCACTGCACAGTGTTGATGTTAGGAGAAAAAGAGAACTGTGGAACTCTATCTCATCTTAGCTGTGCGGGGAGCCTTGAGGCTGAGTTGAGGTATGAGGCAGATGTATGTCAGGATGGGAGGTGATGCACATGGTTTGTTGAAGCAAACCTGTGATGCTTCCTGGAGCTTGCAGAGAAATTAATTGGCGAATGGCAAAGAATGACAGCAGGCCAAAAATGGCCAGTTGTTGCTAGTTAGGGGCTTGCAGGGCATTTGTCATCCTTGGGTGTCCAAGCAGCACACAGCAAGCCTCATTAACTCCATTTCCAGGTGGGCAGATGGCAACAGGTACAGCTGAATTGCTCAAAGTCACTCACTGGTGTCTGGAAAATTAAAATACTTCTCTTGTGTCTGGCTTTGGGTGATGGCAGCTCACTGTTGAAGAACGTATTCTTCTGAGATAAAGGCTGGATTTGTGTGCACCTTCTGCATTTCTTCTCTCATTTTGTGCAGTCTTCAGATTGCAAGTCCAGCCGTGAAATGCAGCTCCCACAAATGGCTGAGTGATATGGGAGGCTACAGCAAAGCCTGGGAGTTTGTGAGCAAATACAGTTCATCTCCAAACATGGAACGAGTCCCCTGTGCCTTCTGGATAGTGCAGTCCAGGAGAGCATCCCCTTAGTACTGCTTTTTAGCATGTGTACTGATTACAGCTCTGGGTACTTTGTAGACTCTTTGCATCTGATGTACTAATTAGTGAGCTTCATGATCTGTTAATGAGCTATATCAATGCTATTTCCCTCTCTATTCCATGTAATTAAAGTATCCAAGCTGGATAGCAGAGGTGGGGAGGTATTCCAAACCAGAATTCACTGCAGCAATTTCAAGTTATTAAGCAGTTGTCTAATCCTGAGGCCATACTAAATGGTGCTAATTCACTGGGCTGCACTGATGACCTGACCCTCTAGGGTGGCTCCTCCAGTTTTTTCTCCCTTCAGCAGTTACAGTCCTAGGCTGATTTTTCACCTGTCCAGTTTCATGCCTAGAATTAACTGTGCTTATATATAAAGCTTAGCAGATGTTAAAGGAATGAAATCAGATACTTAGCTCCAATCTGATGTTTTTAAGCTGTCACTGGCAAGAAGCTTTCTGCTGTAAATGCTGCTTGGCACATGGAGGCACTCTCCTCAAATGGCCCAGTGGCACAAAGCTGACCCTTTTTTGTGCGCTGGTGGATGAGTGGGGAAAATGGTTTCAAAACCCAGACCACTCCATGGCAGAATTTCTAAGTCCATGAAGGAGGGCCTGGAAGGGGAAGGATGCTTTGGGTAATGCTCTCATTCTAAAGATACTGCCTCTAACTCTTCTGCAGAGAGGGCAAACTGGAAGTTGAAGTCTTGCTGTTAATATTTTTAGGCTGTGAAATTCTCAACAGTCCTTAGAGAAACTCTTAAAAAAAAAAAAAAATTGGAATTGATTTCTCTATGAAACAGCCTCATTTCTAATTTCTTCTGCAAATTCAAGCCATCGTGCTGTGAGTAGAAATGAGAAAGAAGTGACTGCTTTGCAGAACTCTTAGGATACCTGTGTGGGATGGGCGCATCCTGAATCGCAGTTCTGACATCTTAAAATGGACATTTTAAGTAAGGACAGATATCACTCTTCTGTGTTGTTTTGTGAACAGATCTTACAGCCAGTTCTGGCCAGTGCCAGAGTTGGATTTTGTAACTTTAAGGGAAAAATGTAGCAATATTGAGCAATTTTGTGCAGGGGGATAATATTACTATTTCAATCCCTATTAGCAACTGTGAATTCCTACTGTAAAATATTGTTTTGAAGAGGTATACTCAGTGTGAAGGAGGGAAATTTATCTCTAGAAATGTGTTTCTCGAGGGAAGGAGAAATCTAGATTGTTTTCTTTCATCTCCCAGAGAAGATTGCTTGATGTAAGCCAACTTTGATTTATGCAGTCATTATAACCTGATCACAATGAATAATGCAATATAGCTTACTCATAACGCACTAACATTAAATAGGTATTCTGGGAATGGGAAGTTGTCCCATTGCCAAGTACAGCTATATCTTTACAGACAATGTAATCAATTTTGCTGCTTATTTCACAAAGCCAGTGAACCAGTCTGCGTCTCCCTGCGGTATTTAGGTCATGCTAAGCACGCGTCAGCACAAGTTAGGTGTGTTTACAGCTCTGTGGTTCTTTCTAGTAATCCATCTGTTTAAATACAGGAATTAGGATTCAGACTCTTCATGCTACCTGGCTAATTTTGTGTGATCAACTCCCCTCTGGAAGGATCTTTTATTCAGAACTCAGTCTTCTGGATGCTGCCTGATAGAATTGATCCAAGACGCTCAGATGGTTTTTCCATTTGCGGATGGAGGTGCTTCAGTGGGTGAGCTATCTACTGCTCTTGGGTAACATGACAGCGTTTTTTGTCCTATGAGAACATTCAGGAAATGCGGTGATAAACTTGCTTGTTTTTGTGCTGTGCCTTTGTCAGATTCTCTGTTTCTGCAGGCTGTTGGTCATAAAAGATAAGTTCCTAGCAATTGCTCAGGCTTTCTGGTAGTCATCTCAAGCTGTATGATAGTACTTTCATCTACTGCTTGTAAAAAAGCTGTTTGTGTTTATCTGACAGCAAGTTCAATGTCCCTATAAATGCAGCTTGTTGGAATTCTTCGGTTTGGGGAAGAGCAGAAAAACACAGCACAGGAATAAAATAGGGTAGCTTTCCCCAGAGGCTCATTTCTTGTTTGCAAAAGAGAAATTTGCCAGATGCGACTTTGTACTACTGACTCCCTCTTAAATAACAAAAAAGAGGTGGGATCGTCTGCTCCAAAGGAAAATACTCACGCTTTGCCAAAGTGTATTGGATGACAAAGGTGTAGGAATCTTAAATTTTTTTTAGTTTTAAACTCCCCAGCCCCAAGGTAAGAGAAATATCCAAATATTTAGAAATTCAGGGGAAGGCTTTTTCCAGAGACTTTTTAAAGATCTGTTGCTGAGCAAAGCATTGAGGAGTGGCATAAAGTTACTACAGACCCAAATGTAAATTTTAGTTGCTAAATTCAGAGGCTTGTTTCCTGTAGTAGTGTTTTCTCCACGATGAAAAAGTGACATTTTAACTCAAAACCTGGCTCCATTCCTGGCTTTTCTGCTCGCTTTGGAGGCGGTGAGGTGATGCTCCTGCCTTCTCACAGCCATTCCCAGGGCAGAGCAAGCCTCAGGCTGTCACATAGCACAGAGAGCCTCTGGTTTCAGTTTCCATCTCTGCATGATCATTCTCAAACCACATCTGAACCCTGAAATTAAGTAAGTCAAGAGATTTTTCCACCCTGCTTGGCCAGATGCTGACCCCTCCCAGCTGAGATTACTGGTGCCTGTGCTTCACGGTGCACTTCCCCACTGGGAGGTGGGGATGGCTGGGCAGTCCTGCCTGGGTCATAGGGAACAGCTCTGAGAGGCAGGAATGCAGATACTCAGATTGCATCGTTCCTTTGAAGTCACTCCTTGACTTCGGTTGTGGCTGTGATTTATGTCAGCTGATCCTTGGAGCCAGGAATAGCAGTGATTTGCCTTGACCTTGGACGTGCATGTTAGATCACCTGCCTGGGGTTCAGATGATCCACTTCATGGACAGCCATGTTATTTCCCTCCAGTTTCATGTTCTTGACTGTTGGAAGCTGTAATTTTTAGAGACTGTAAGAAGTAGATGCTAGTTTTTCTACTTGAATTAAACTTCAGGTCAGGCATCTTGTAGGATCCTGCAGGGAGAGCTTTGGGAGTTTTAGGTGTTTCGCAAATGACAGCTCTTACTGTTCTCTCTCATCTCATCAGTTCCTGATTTGCTGCTTGGATTATCTAATCACTGTCAGTGCAAGTGTTTGGGGTGAAAGTAATTAGAGCAGTGCTTCCAACTAATTCCTATTCATGTAGCAGTAGTGTAAACGTTGATTTGAGGGATAAGTGAGCTAAGTGTTCGTGCTGAATAGGCACCTGGGAGCGTCTGGGGCTGCTGCTGGTAGCTGCTGTCAGAACAGCTTCAACAGTGTAAACAGTTCAGGTACTGTTGTCAGTGTGAGGAAGTGCTGACAAGCCTCAGACACATACTCCATCGTGATGGATCAAAGGCCTAATTATTTGCTCTGTATGTGCTCCTAATGGGGTCTGTGATTAGCTCTCTGTCTTGGGCTCATCACCAGCTCTTCTGTGCATTGACTGCGTTGAAGGGCTTTCCGTGTTCTTGCATAGAAGTTGGGTTTGTGCAGCTTCTGCTCAGTCAAGGTGGTGCTGGGTGCTCTTCTGCAATGTTGTGGGATCACTGAAATGATACTGTGATAATGGACACCCACTGCTGATGGCAGCTATCTCAGGATTTCGTTTTTGAAAGTGCTAAGCAGGTTTTAAGAGAGAGCTTGCGTCTTCTTTTTGAGTTTGTTCCCATAAGCTGTCAGGCAAGAGTTAACAACCACAGCACTGATGTTAATGGGATTCTAACAAAAACAAAATACTTGATAATACTTCAACTATTGCAGCCCAGTATGTAAATCTTATTTTCGTGCTGTGTCTAAACACTTGTCCTCCTGTTTCCCACACCACCCAGTAACGGTGGCTGTTTTGTTGCTGGCAGCGCTGAACAAAGCTGCAGTGAGGGATGAATTGCATCAAAGTCACTGGTGCAGAGAAGGCCTAACTGGCTGTTGATGTTTCTAGAGTTTGTGTAGCTGTATGGGTTTAGAGAACTCAAAACTCTTCTTTTAAGACTTTAAACATCTTTCTATTAATTTAACATCCAGGAACCCTGATGGTGCAACCAGATTGCACAGTCAGGTGGTACGCAAACATACAATTAAATCGTGCAGTCTGGAAGGAGGCAGTTGTACGACAGATGAGTAATGGTATTTCATTAGACCAAGTGACTGCCTAGATAACATGCAGGAGAACTGAGGATTCCTGGTTACAGTCAATGCCTTGAGAAATGCAGGCAACCTTCCAGCTGGTGTTGAGCTCACTGTGTAAGCAATACTTCATTGTTCACAAGCATTTGTATTACAAGTGGATTACAAGTGTATCTTGGGATAAGACCCAGTAGTGATGGTATTAACGGGGTGATGGAGCCTGTGCAATTACACAGGTGGTTTGTTAATCTACTGGTGCAACTAAGTAATTGCAGTTCAGTACTTATGAGATTAAATCTTGTCTGTGAGCTAAACTGCTTCCCTGTTCTTTGGAGAGTAACTCTTCTGATGAGAATGTTACCATCAGATGCAAAAAGAGTTGTGGTTTTTTTGTTGTTTTTTTTTTTCTTTTTTTTTTTCTTTTTTTTCTATGGGCTACCATATGAATAGTAGAGCATAAATTGGAGGGAGGTGGGTCTCAGCCATGTTTATGTACTCAAGCACAGCTTAAGTGCTTTTCCTAATTCAGGACCAAAACAAGCAGCATAGTGCCTTAACCTGGCAGGTCAGAACACAAATACCTTGGCCTTGCTTCAGCTCAGAGATGCCAAAGGAAGGAGAGAGCTGATGCAGGAGGAGGAGGAAGTTCAGACGGGGGACCCTTGTGTCCTGATTTTCCTCCATTTCACTCAAATTAGCATCATGAATGCCATTTGTTCTTCATAGGCATAGTTACTTGGGTTGGCATGACTTTGTCCTGAAGGCAGTGATGTATTGTATTGTGTTAGAGAACTGCTGTACTGTGGGAGCAGAACCAAAACACAAAAGCTGAGTATTTATATTTGATGCTGATTTGGCTCCTTTGCTTACATTTAGCAGGTGGTTGTGGTTTTGTTTTTTGTTTTTTTTCCAGCTTTTTAAACCTTGATTCTGTTCTAAATCCAAAAATTAGTCTGGATTAGTTGTTGCTGAGCTACAGAACCCATTCCAGTAACACCAACTTACAACCACCTCCCATGCTTGTATGGAGTTGATTGCTAGTGGTACTTATGGTCCCAACAGCGTTTGGAAGGTCGTACTCCCGGCCAGAGGTGGAAAGAAGCTTTCTTTCCTTGGGCAATGAATGGGTGTCCACAAGCTGGGAGGAATAATATGACTCCCTGAACAGCTGAAAGACAGTGGAAGAACAGACAGCTGGTCAACTCAATCATTTTCATGCACAGAAAGAGTTACGGCTACTTAATTGTAGCTACTTTTCATGGGCATTATTTTGTGCTGGATAAGTTGGTTTAGAAAACTATCAATGGATCCGAGGTTGGAGCTCTCTTGTCTGGTTGCTTGTTGGGCACTGGCTTGGTGGGAGGCAATGAGAAGTTCTGAGGGGTCCCATCACTGATCATTCCATTTGTGCTACCCTGGAGCCCTGCGAGCGCTGTGCACTACTTGATAACAGCTGATAGGGACTTTTCTTTGAAATCACACTACTTTTAGTGGCAGTCTTGTTTTATTTCTTATCTTACCAGGTGTCACTTTCGAATTACTGATTAAATGTAGGCTGTGAACAGTTGGTAAGGCTTAAATTTTTTTTATCCTCTATGCAGACAGTATGTTATCTGAGTTTTGAATGTAATAAGATGATAGGAAGTGCTGCACAGTTGAGGACTAGGTGGGAAGATTGCAAGAAAGGGGACAGAAGTTTGATAAATGAATTGGCAGGATGCTGCAAGTGTGGAAGGGTGTTTCTTCAGTCACTCTGTGCAGAAAGAATCTCATTCAAGTGACTCAAATTTAAGTATTTGGACTTTGAAAGCAAAAGGACAGTTGTTGGAATCCTGTATTCTACTGTGAAATGGTCTGTCCAGTCATTCAGTTACCCAGTAATTGAGCTGCTTTTCACTGTCTATTCACACTTATTCTTTTACGTATTATACACATATTCTGCTTTGCCAATTCACACACCTGATGGAATTTCATTCCTTGTCTGCTCAAGCTTTGTGTCTGTCTTAAGCATACGAGACTGGAACAAATAATGAATTAACATTGAAAAGTGTATCCCTTTATTTTGAAAAAGCTGTTTCCTAGAAAGTCCTGCATGTACAAGCAGGATGGCTGCAGCTTCTTTCATTAGCACCCTTCATGCAAGCATCCTCTGTCTTTATTTATGACTTAATTTATGACTGCAATGTAATTCAAAAGAAATACGATGTGAGTGTCCATTAGCTTGATCTTCATTTTGTCTGAGCTACTGAGAGCCATTAATTGTAGCTCCAGAGCAGAATCTGATTTATAAGTCTAACTTCTATGCAAATGTTAGTGATATTGAAGTCATTGGAGATGCCAAGTTTATTCTCTTGTGTTTCTAGATTTACCAGAGATGCTGGTTAGTATTCAAAAAAGCTTCAAGCAAAGGGCCAAAGAGGCTGGAGAAATTCTCAGATGAACGAGCTGCTTACTTCAGATGCTATCACAAGGTAAGGCCTGATTATATTCTTGTTTATCAAACTTGTTTTACATACAGTTGGGAATAAAATCTGAAGTTGTCACGTATTAATTGGCCTAAAAACTGGAACTTTCATTTTCTACAGTCGGGGTCCAAAACCCATTTGTATGTTCCTTCAGTAAAGGAAGGGGAGATCGGAAAGTTGGGTACCTAACAGCTTGGGTCTTGTGTGTGTGTGGGAGGCACTAGACAGCTACAGAAATGATGGGCAACGTGCAAATCTTTCTTGCAGCAGTGATGTGAAAACCTTCTCTGAATTCACTGATATTAAAAGAACGTTGCTTTCCCTCTAATCGCTTCTCTGCAGTTCTGTGTGCATTTCATACTCATCTGAGAATTTACATGTGTAATTCTCCTGGGCATGGAGATGAAAATGAGAAACCCTTTAATTTATAATCATTGTTGGCAAAAGCTTAATATATTAGAAGATTAGGATTTATGTGCATAAATTGCTGGGAGTCAGCGAGCACAGCTCAGCTCGAGGCTGATCTGCATTTATTCACTTTGACGTACGTTTAGGAGGAAATCTGGAGGGAATACTGAGTCTGAATTCAGACTTGTCAGTCTGCATGCTGTATAATTTGTAACTGATTGATCATAAAACCTGTGGCAATTTGTAGTAAGTCGTGCCCATAAATACTCCATCTACATTTTGATTAAGAAACTTTCAGAAGTAATGAACGGTGTGTTTGAGGGTAGCACAGTGTGTGTAAGACAATATCTAGCTTTCAGTGAGACACTGCATTTGTATCAGCGTGGCTCTGTCAGTCTCATGCAAGTGTTTATTTCTTCCATTGTACAAATGTAACGCATCATTGGGTTCAGATTAGTTAACAGATGTGAAATCTAAAAGGAATCTGAATGAAGCTGGATTTCTTTTTCAAGAGAAACTGAGGCTGCCCTCTAGTTCTAAAGCCATCAGCTATACAAGCTGATTGGCTCTGCTTGCTTATAACCAACCTTACTTGAAAGGAAGCTAATGAATGTTAAGTAGTGTTCTTGTGTTCTTTGGCTAAAATGTCTTGACTTACAAAGAGCACATGTGGCTTAAAATGGCTGTATCCTTTTTAAAAAAGCTTTGTAGATGTGTGAAATTCAAAGGTTGGCAATGATGCAACTTCCAGCCTGATTATCTGGGAGGTGTTCAAAGGGAACATGCCACTGCTGCACTGCGTTGCACTGCAGTTGAATTGATTCTTGTAAAAACAAACAAACAAAAAAAAAAAAACAACACCAAAAACATAATAATCAAATGAAAAGAAAAAGGAAAAAAACATCTTAATATGGCAGTCGCCAACCACACTACTTCTCAACTGTTTTTATCTATCTTATTAATGGGCTTTGATGGTCATCATATCATCCAGTGCCTGCAATAGTCATTGCTATTGTTATACACATCTGGTCAGCACAAGCTGTTGAAGGCAGCATCACATCTAGACACTGGAGGAGCCCTTGCTCACCCACCCCATCAGTCTTTGTGGAGATTTAATCTATCATAAGACTGTGAAAATGAAAAATCATAGAATCATAGAATCATAGAATCACTAAGGTTGGAAAAGACCTAAAAGATCACCCAGTCCAACCGTTCACCTATTCCCAATAGCTCCTACTAAACCATGTCCCTCAACACAACATCCAGCCTTTCCTTGAACACCCCCAGGGTCGGTGATTCCACCACCTCCCTGGGCAGTCCATTCCAGTGCCTGACCACCCTTTCTGAAAAGTAATACTTCCTCATGTCCAGCCTGAATCTCCTCTGCCGTAGCTTGAAACCATTCCCCCTGGTCCTATCACTAATGACACGAGAGAAGAGGCCGACCCCCAGCTCACTACAACCTCCCTTCAGGAAGTTATAGAGAGCAATAAGGTCTCCCCTGAGCCTCCTCTTCTCCAGGCTGAACATTCCCAGCTCCTTCAGCCTCTCCTCATATGGCCTGTGTTCCAGACCCCTCACCAGCTTTGTTGCCCTTCTTTGAACACGTTCCAGGGCCTCAATATCTTTCTTGCAGTGAGGGGCCCAAAACTGGACACAGTACTCGAGGTGCGGCCTCACGAGTGCTGAATATAGGGGAACAATCACCTCTCTGCTCCTGCTTGCAACACTGTGTCTGATGCAAGCCAGGATGCCATTGGCCTTCTTGGCCACCTGGGCACACTGTCGGCTCATGTTCAGCCGAGCATCAATCAATACCCCCAGGTCCATTTCCTCTACGCAGTCCTCCAGCCACACCGCCCCAAGCCTGTAGCGTCGCCTGGGGTTGTTGTGGCCGAAGTGCAGGACCCGGCATTTGGCCTTGTTGAAACTCATCCCATTGGCTCCAGCCCAGCTCTCCAGCCTGTCCAGATCCCTCTGTAGGGCCTCGCTACCCCCAGGCAGATCCACACTTCCAGCCAATTTGGTGTCATCTGCGAATTTACTGAGGGTGCACTCGATGCCCTCATCGAGGTCATCAATAAAGATATTGAAGAGGACAGGCCCCAGCACCGACCCCTGCGGAACACCACTCACGACCGGTCGCCAGCTGGATTTAACTCCATTCACCACCACTCTCTGTGCCCGGCCCTCCAGCCAGCTCCTTACCCAGCCAAGAGTGTACCCATCCAAGCCTCTGGCTGCCAGCTTCTGCAGGAGAATGCTGTGGGAGACAGTGTCAAAGGCTTTGCTGAAGTCTAGGTAGACCACATCAACAGCCTTTCCTTCATCCACCAGATGGGTCACTAGATCATAGAAGGAGATCAGGTTGGTCAAACAGGACCTGCCCTTCATGAACCCATGCTGGCTAGGCCTGATCCCCCGGTCACCCTGCACATGCCGCATGATCTCCCTCAAGACGATCTGCTCCATAACCTTCCCTGGCACCGAGGTCAGGCTGACAGGCCTGTAGTTCCCCGGATCCTCCTTACGACCTTTCTTATAAATGGGAGTCACATTGGCAAGCCTCCAGTCTTCTGGGACCTCACCAGTCAACAAGGAGCGCTGACAGATGATGGAAAGCGGCTCGGCTATCACCTCCGCCAGTTCCCTCAGCACTCTCGGGTGGATCTCATCTGGCCCCATCGACTTGTGACAGTCCAGCTGGAGCAGTAGGTCTCTGACTGTTTCTTTCAGAATCACAGGGGGGTTAGTGTGCTCCCCGGCCGAGATTACCAGGTCAGAGAGAGGGGTATCCTGAGGATAACTGGTCTGACTTTTAAAGACAGACGTAAAGAAGGCATTCAGAACCTCCGCCTTTTCCTTATCCTCAGTGGTCACATTCCCAGCCTCATCCAGCAAAGAGTGGATATTCTCCTTTGTCCTCCTCTTACTGTTAATGTATTTATAAAAGAGTTTCTTATTCCTTTTCACACCAGCAGCTAGGTTAAATTCAAGCTGGGCTTTTGCCTTTCTGATTGCACCTCTACACATCCTAACAACTTTCCTGTATTCATTTTGAGTGGCCTGTCCCTCTTTCCACAGGCGGTAGATTCTCTTTTTCTCCCGGAGCCTCAGGAATAGCTCCCTATTCATCCACGCCGGTCTTCTTCCCCGCCGGCTCATTTTGCAGCTCAGGGGGACTGCCTGCTCCTGCGCCCTTAAGACTTCCTTCTTGAAGAGCAACCAGCTCTCTTGGACCCCTTTGCTTGCTAAGACTGAATGCCAGGGGACTCCCCCTATTAGTCCCCTGAACAATTCAAAGTCTGCCCTCCTGAAGTCCAAGGTAGCAGTATTACTATTCCCCCTCCAGGCTCCACTGTGAATCACGAAGTCTATCATTTCATGATCACTCTGTCCAAGACAGCCTCCAACCTCCACATCTCCCACCAAACCTTCCCTGTTTGTGAACAGCAGGTCTAGTGGGGCAGTTCCTCTCGTGGGCTCTCTGACCAGCTGTATCAGGAAGTTGTCCTCTACGCATTCCAGAAACCTCCTAGACTGCTTCCTCTGTGCTGTGCTGTACTCCCAGCATATGTCAGGGAAGTTAAAGTCCCCCATGAGGACAAGGGCAGGCAACTGTGCAGCTTGTGCCAGCTGCTTATAGAATACCTCGTCTGTTTCTTCATCTTGATTTGGGGGTCTATAACAGACGCCCACCAGGGTGCCTTTCTTGTCAGCCCTTCCTCTGATCTTTACCCATAGGGATTCAACGTTATCGTCCCCAGTCATAATCTCAGTAGCGTAAAAGCATTCCCTAACATAGAGAGCTACACCTCCACCCCGCCTTCCTTGCCTATCTTTCCTGAAGAGTTTATAGCCATCCAATGCCGCACTCCAATCGTGGGAGCAATCCCACCACGTTTCCGTTATGGCAACTAGGTCATAGTTTGCCTGCTGCACAATGGCTTCCAACTCTTCTTGTTTGTTGCCCATGCTGCGTGCATTAGTGTAGACGCATCTCAGCTGAGCCCCTCGCCTCTCACCTAATCCCACTACCACTTCCCCAGGCTGCTCTCTAGCAGGCCTGGCTTTATCCCCCTCCCCCTTCCTATCTAGTTTAAAGCCCTCTCTACAAGTCCCGCCAGCTCCTGGGCAAGTATCCGTCTCCCTTTTGGAGACAAGCAATTCCCATCTGCAGACCTCAGGCCAGATGCCGAGTAGACCACCCCATGATCAAAGAATCCAAAGTTTTTACGCTTGCACCAGCCTCTCATCCATGCATTTATAAGATGGCTTTTCCTGGTCATCTCAGCGTTCATCCCTGCCACCAAGGGAATGCTGGCAAACACTACTTGTATGCCCGCTCCATCAACTAACTTCCCCAGTCTCCTAAAATCATTTTTTATAATCCTCAGGCTTCTAACAGGGATCTCATCACTGCCGGCCTGAACTATCAATAGAGGGTAATAATCAGAGGGGTGGATAAGGCTGGGGAGTTTTCTAGAAATATCCCTGACCCGGGCTGCAGGAAGGCAGCACACCTCCCTACGGGTAGGGTCAGGCCGACATATTGGACCCTCTGTTCCTCTCAGAAGAGAGTCACCTACAACTACCAC